GATGAACTGTTGCCAATATCACTCTCAGTATAGTCCTTTTCCTTTACACTATCATCTGAGTTAAACTCACCCTGATTTTTGTCGCTTAATCACTAGAAAAACATTAACTGAAGCATCACTGAAGAGACTCGAAGCATTTGAGATGTGGTGCTATAGACGCAAGTTGAGGATTTTCTGGATAGACAGAATTACCAACGAAGAAGTAATAGATAGAATGGGAAAAGAACGCGAACTAGTCGTAACCATAAAACGTCGCAAACTCGAATACCTGGGCCATATAATGCGCAATGAACAACGATATGACCTACTTCGAACCATACTTCAAGGTAAAGTGCATAGGAAAAGAGGTCCAGGACGGAGAAGAATATCCTGGCTGCATAACCTGCTAAAGTGGTTTAACTTAACCACTACCAGACTTTTCAGGGCAGCAGTCAACAAAGTCAGAATAGCCATGTTAGTGTCCAACATCCGTAACGGATAGACACTATAAGAAGAAGAATCACAATCAACAAAGTCAGAATAGCCATGTTAGTGTCCAACATCCGTAACGGATAGACACTATAAGAAGAAGAATCACTAGAAAACTCATAAAAATCGCGAGAACACCCAGCACGTGTTTCAGTCATAATGGTGGCTTGTACTATGAAAGTGTTCACCGTCTAGCGATATTGTGAAAAGGTTATTTTGCCACATCATTGTCATCTGTTGGAAAATAGTGAAACTAGGTTGTATGTGGCTATTGAGCAATTCATAAACTCTCAAAATGATCTCGTGTTTACTTGAGCGAACGCACCTACGAAAGTTTGAGCTTACGAACGGCCACCCGAAGTAATTTTCCATCTCAAGTAATGGTATGGGTAGCTGTAACCGCCGATGAACGCTCTCCAATCGTTTTTATTGAATCTGGTATCAAAGTCAATGCAACTTATTATAGGTAAAATATTTTAGAAACTGCTTGAGAGCCGTTAGTACGCAAACATTTCCGTTGTAGACCATGGACGTTCCAACAAGACTCGGCACTGTCTCATAAAGCTAGTGTGAACCAAGAATGGTGAAAAATCCATGTTCCACAATTCATTTCAAACACACATTGGCTTTCGAATTCGCCAGACGCAAATCCGATGAACTATTCAATCTGGTCCATTTTGGAGAGCAAGGTGAGGACTAAAAAATATACCAGTATGGATGACCTGAAGGAAGCAAATATACGTGGTGAAGCAAATATACAAAGGTGGCCACATCAAGCTTAAGTGAGTGGATTCTGAAATTTTGATTATTTTCACAGATTTTTGTCATGTGAATCAATAAAAAATAATTTCACACATAAAGATTATGGTCGTTTGAATAGGTAACACCTCAATTTCGTAACCCAATACTATTTCTTTATGATAAAGTAGATTAATGTTCTCCGACATTGAGCGGTGCAATTTTGGCGTAAAGCTTTAAGGCTCAATAATTTACATTTTATCATGTATTGTATTCAATTTCGTCAGAGTGGTCATCTTCTCCGTGCCGGTCTTAACTTTTATGAAGAAAGAGTTCAGAGCTCTCAACTAATTAGGGGTTTTTCAGCACTCCGCAAAAGATAGACTGGAAGAGGAAGTCCTTAACCCAGACACGGGTTAAGGACTTCCTCGTGTGTATGATATACAGGACAGGTGTGAATAAGGTTTACCAAATAAGCAGCCGTGGATCAACTAAGGAAATGTCATATGACAGCCTATATTATTACTAATTTCAAGGCTAGAGCAAAATACATTCTTAGTAGGCTGGGAATTAATCAGCTGCAATACTGGGGTGTGTAAGACAAGAAAAACCAACACACTTATACCATTATAGATAATATAATTATGGCGAGTTATGGAGAACCAAGTCCCTAGTCCACGATAGGCCATAAATTGTTAAGGAGAGCTAATGATTCTCTCGTTTAATGCTAGGAACCACCCGAAAGTGGAACAAAACCAGAATGACAAATAATATAAAATTGAAACCTGGAAAACAAAATTACTCTGCATACCAGGAAAATCTTATAACATCGTAAGAGAGATAAGAGAAATAATAAAAATGGGAGTCAACATTTTGGAAGTAAAGTGAAGTTAGATGGCCTGGATCTGAACAGACATATATAGATAACTATAAAATATATTATGCTGACAATGATTCCCATCATTATTGCTGAGTGAAATTCATAGTTGGTAAGTAAAGAGAAAAGTGTGTGAAGAACTGTATGCCTATATCTGATAGAGTAGTTATGTTGCAAATTTATATAATCCCCGAAACTTTTTTTAAGTAAGTCTATGCTCCAACAGGAGAAACCAGAACCAGAACCACAAACCAGTAAAATACGAAAATTCTACTAACAGATCAAACAGCAAACAAAATTATGTTAATATAAAATTAAGTAAAATATAATGAAAACCAGAGAATTATCAGAAAAAAAATCCGGAAAGCAAAAGAAGTATGGAAAAACAGCAAATGTAAGGATTTACTAAGAAACCATGACTACTTTTACGCGTACAAAAAATAAAGGAAGTAAGAAAAGAAAAAAAAATATTTCAAATTATAATTGACTTCTGCAGTCCAATAATTTCCTTCAACTTAACGTGTCAACAAAGTCATAAATATGTATCACTTCTTTATTGTTTCTATAAATATTTTCAGCAGGAGATATTAAAATACCAAAGTAAAATCTCTCCTAAAACACTCACATGCTGACATCATATTTATTATTCCCATATATACTACATTAATATTTTATCAACCATGATGACACACATTACTTTCTCCTCTTTAGTCTGTGAATTTTACTCAAGGGCATATGCTTTCTTGATTTTACCTTGATACGAGTACCTGTCTTATGTATCCACGCCCAAAACTATTGGTTGTGGTTGCAAGCTACTCGCACGGGAAAACGCATAACAATAAGTAATTATCAATCAAAAACAAAGTAGTAGTAATCAAAATAAAATACACTTTAGTTTTTAACTTTTCTTATTTTTGCTTTTTTGATTAAGCGTTTTTTCAGCTTGTCATTTTTCTTAAACATTGTGAAAAATTTTATTTGGTGGTCCAGGTTCTTACCTCTTCAAATATTTGTAACTTAGTCTGTAGTCTATCTTCTATTGTGTTCAGTTATTATATTTATTTTTGTCAATATCCCTAAATATTTATTATACATAACTTCTAATTTAGATTTATTTTTCTAATTTAAATTTTGTTTAAATGCCATTTGCTTGTTTGTATGTTTTAATTTTTCATTGATAGAATATTCAGTTTGATGTTTTTTTTGTGTATGAAGTATTTTTCGAAGTTATTGGTATCGCCATGTGATCCTATGGAGTTAAGTCGTAGCGGTTCCTACATTGAGAAATAACGTGCAGCCTATTCTCCAATGCTATGGGGTATCTTGGACAAACCATACAGCCAAGGTATTTTTTTAAATAAACATCCCATTTAATTTGCAATCTGTTGAATTTTACAATCGGTAAATGACAGTAACAAAATATTTAGTAGTTTATATAAAGTTGGGTTTGGAAAATTAAACTAATACACAATATTACACTATAGAACAGTAAATTCGAACAATCTGACAGGCAGATCATATGGTAGATGCCTTAACCAATACGTTGGGGTGATTTTCTATGCGTTACTCATACTTTGGGAGAAGCAGGATATTTCTTCTTTGACATATGTCATTTTAAGATCACGAGCAATAACACTGTAAGTTACGTACCATGTAGCGTTTACCATAATCCTAAGCACTTTGGGCTGGAATCTCTGTAGGATTTCGATATTTGAGTAGGATGCTGTCCCCCACAATTAAGTTACGTAGCTGCATATCGGTTTTAGAACGACTTTGTAAATTAACAAATTGTTGGTGACTGTTCATTGTGATTTACGACCTAACATCCAGTACAATTTCTTAAGTTTTAAGCCCAGTTGCTTTCTCTTATCAGCAAATATATCTGTTCCCCAAGTTAATCGTGAGCCAAGATGGATTCCCAGATATTTTGCATATTTTTTTGTTGCAAGAACTAACCATTTAATGCCACAGTTGGACAGGCACGTCTTTGCAGAGTGTGGGTGACATGGACAGATTTAATTTTGTTTTCTTTAATTTGCCAGGTTTTTAGCCAAAACGAAAAAAATATCCAAGTGAGTCTTGATAGGATAATGAGCAATGATAGGATCTTTGTAAGATGCCATAACAGCGGTATCATCTGCATATGTTGCAGTGGTTATATTTTTACTAGTGGAAGATCAGCTGTCTGGATCAGCCATACTCACTACGTGGACCGTGGGTCGCATGCGTCCCTCAGAGCGATTTTTTGCGACCCTCAGACTGCTAGGCAGTAAAACAAAATTTGCAAGTTATAATATAATTATGTTTTTATTTATGTATTTAATCAGATTACAGTATTGTAGAGCGGCGCCATGCATTTCACATTAGTCATCTTTACCCCCACCACAGTGGCACTGGCCGGCCAGTAAAGATGTTTCGAAACCTTGTAGACCTCGTAAATACGCATACCTGAAAAAATAAATGTACTGATGATTACCCATCAATGTTGGGGTGAAATGTTTGTTCAGCTGTCGAAAAAAAAACTTGGGAAATGATAATTTATTGAATTTGCATTGTATCATTCATCAAGAAAGCTTGCTGCTAAATTTGGTGAAAATTTCAGCTGTGTTATGAAAACACTTTGATTTTGATACAAGATTGTGAATGTCATAAGATCAAATAAACTAAACCACAGAGAGTTTTTAATGATATTTTGAAAGAACTTATGTTGCAATATGGGAACATTCTTTACCACACAGAAGTGAGATGACTGAGTAAGGATAAAGTTTTGGATCGTGTCTTCAGCATTCGACTTAAGATTACTCTGTTTTTTTCTACAAAGAGTTTCCTGATATTCATAATTTTAGTTGGTTTAAAGTAGCGTTATGAACGAAATATTGACCAAATTGCAAGGAGACTACAATAACATTGTAACAAAATGATGAGTATTGTGTTTTCACTGGAGCAGATGCTGAATATGTATATTAAAGAATTGTCAAATGAAGATTATTCCAGCTTTCCTTCCGTTAAAGCACTGTTTGATGAAAATCTAGATGAAAGTCAAAAGATATCTGATCTACTGAAGCTGTTAGCAGACCTAAAGAATAAAATGTCTGTGAGGTTTAGTGACTTCAGGAAGTTCCGAGAACCATTCCGCTTGGTGGAAAATCCATGAGCAATAACAACAGCAAATCTAGCTCATCTTTTTATTTTCGGATATGAAGCTAGGGATTTGAAAAATGAGTTAATTGATCTTGAATTGAGTCAATTGAACTTAATTGACTGTGCTCAGAAAATTTTGTGTGTTTTTGCATCTAAATATGTCTGTGAATCAACATTTAGTAAGCTGAAGTCCATAAAAACAAGTACAGATCTAGGCTAACTAGTAAGAACGTTGAAAACATTTTGGGAATTTCAGTTTCCTCCAACCTGCTAACATAGATGCCATTCTAGAGAGTTGTGAAAGAATTTGCCTGTTGACTTCAAAGAATTAACAAATTCAGGACTTGACATTCCTGGAGTCAAGTAAAAGCCATTTTTCTACTTTACATACAAAACAGTCCATATTGTTTCTACGTAACTTATAATAAACTTATGTTATACTCATATTGGTTTAAAGTTATTGTATACCACCACTTGCGGCCCTGTGGAAAATTTCATCCCTGCGGCCCTGAGGATCCCTGGTCTAGATGATATAGACAATCGGACCGAGTACACTTCCCTGAGGCAGGCCAGACCATATTGGGTATACAGTTGGAATTTTGTCTCCATATCCTACTTGAAACTATCTATTTTGAAGTTAGATTTTTCGGTAACCTTTTTCTGATTTTGTATATTAGTCCATAGTGCTTAGTCATCGTTGTCTAAAAAGGCAGCAGCAGCAGTATTCTTGATCTTGTTAATAATTAGAGGGTTGGAAATTAATTTATTTACTTTCAGTATTGATTCTATTTTGGAATTGGAACTATTCTCAGTACTCTCATCTCTGTCGTTTTCAGTAGCCTTTGCATTGTGTCAGGTCTTGTTTCTGAGGCATATGTTATTATTAGTCTTACACTGGCTTTATCAATTCTTAACTTAATCTCAGTGTTAATGTCTCTGTTTTGCCATACTTATAGTGTTATTAAGGCATCCTGCCAGTCTACTTGCTTTTTGTACTTAATCTCTCACTTCTTTGTCCAGGTCTCTATAGCTAGACAGTGTAATTCCCTGGTATTCTATTTCCATTACTTGTTCAATACTGAAGCCTTCAATTTCTATTTTACATCTGATTGGTTTTTTGCTGATTACTGTTGTTTTAGTTTTCTGAGATGAGATTGTCGTTTTAAATGCTTTTGCTCTTATGTTAAATCTGTGGACCAGTTTTTGCAGACTATCTACATCTTGGGCTATCAATATTGCCCCTTGCCCCTTGTCTTATTCCTCTGAGGAACTTCCCTATTATACAGAAGATGGACTACATCTTTGAACCTTACTCTGTCAAACACCTTCTTTAGGTCAATCAGACACAGAAATGCTGGTCTATTATACTCTAGTGATTTCTCAATAATTTGCTTTATAACGAATATTGCATCTGTACACGATTTTCCACTACAAAAACCCTGTTGCTCATCTGCTAAACTTATCGATTTATTAGCACTTGTAAAATTTAGTTCTTAGTTTTTAACTTAGTTTTTAATTTAAATTTTAGTTCTTAGTATAAGTTTGTATAGTTGAGTTCTTATAAGTTTGTAATTCCTATTGAACTATCTATATTACATTTTTTTAAATCCCTACATTTGTATCTGTAGCCACAACTGTACCAAGAGTAATATATTTCGGTAGTCAATGGATTTCCGCCTCTGTTACCTTCAAGTTTGGATACTGAGAGAGAAATTTTTAGCGGTACCGGTTATGGTTCATTGACTCCGTACTTGGACGCTGCGATGCTCCATCGACAGGTGGATTAAAATTAAAAGTTGTGGAATATTCACATCCGTTGTTTACTGCCTACCCACTCCTTAAACCCAATACGGATTTAAACATCTTCAGAATGTGGCTTTCTTAAAACCGTGATATATTCTATTGAATAATAAAATATCTCTAAATCTATCTCATTATTGCCTAAGAATGTGCAAACTTAAAAACTATAACTTTGACAGTAAATATTTGGTCAGAAATTAATTTTTTTATATACGATCTTTCTTGTCTAATAAAGATTATGATCCTGATCCAAGGGTAGCGGTAAAAATAGAATCTGACCAAAAACTAGTTCAAATGAAAATGAGAGCTGTAATCTTCAATGAAATCGCGGTCAAAAAACAGACAGATAAATATAGTTGAAGGTGTAAACCAGGGGTCACCAATAATATTCCCTGAGGGTTTCGAAAACCTACTACACTTCCGCAGCCCAGACACTCGGTACTAAACCAGGCAGTTGCGTAATCGGGGCCTAAAATCGGTTACCCAAAAACCCTAGTGTTCTGGTTGTTTTCTTTTTTGCAACTATAGTGTTCAACAATTTCAATTTTATGGAACATATCTAAATATATCTAAATCTATTTAAACATCTAAATGTTACTAATAGCTTACCTTAAATAGCGTTTATTTACAACTTCAGTTCTGAATATTTTAGCAGAATCTTCCTGATTCTCGATCATTTCCCTCTGAAGAGCAGCTTTGTTACTTTTAAAAACGGCTGCTGCTTCTCTGGCCCATACACCATTAGGCTTTTTTGTCGTAATATTTTCAATTTTGTGGAAATCAGCAAATCATTTTTTTAATTTTCAAATAAAGTTCATTAATAAAATGAGAGAACTGGGTAACATCAATATCTTTATTACTATCACAAACAGATTTAAGGAGAGAAAAATGCGAAAGTTTTGCCTTAATATCCGTAGAAAAAAGTTCAATCTTTTTAGAAAAACTTTTAATATCCGATAAGAGTGCACAAACAAGTTTTCCCTTGCATTGAAGTTTTAAATTCAAGAAGTTCAGATGTCTGAAGATATCCGCCAAAAGAGCGATAGTTACAACATTTTCTGTATCCAAGAGGAAGCTCAAATGGTCATTTACAGCTTCATTATCAATAGTGGGGCAGAAATTCTTTTATCTTTTTAGGTATTGCAAAGAATCTTTCCAGCACTAAACCCTTGCTCAGCCATCTCACGTGCTTATGAAGAAGCAAATCGTCAAACTGAGCATTGGTGTCTTCTAGTTCTGTTCGTACTGTCATAGGCTGTTTTGAAGTCGACAAAGAGACGACGTGTATCTATGTTATATTCTAGTGACTTTCCAGCAGTAAATCCGCATTGATATTGATCAACAATATCTTTTGTTGGCGAAGATTTTATACGCAGATGCTAACAGAGTAAATGCATCTATAGTTCTTATACTCCACTTGATCACCCTTTTTATGCAACGGACATATTATTCCATTTAGCCCCTCTTCTGGTACCAATTCATTCTGCCATATCAGTACTATAAGCTGGATTGCTGCAAAAACTTGATCACCCCATTTTTTATACATTTCCGAACATATTTCATCGATTCCTGATGCTTTATTGCCTTGAAGTTTTAGAATGCTATTTGACACTTCTTCTCTTGTTGGGTCTTCACTGTGTAGTTGACGTTGTAGATTTTGGAGTTGAAAGAAGGGAGTTGAAAGAAAAATACCAACACTATTGAAATGTTTGGACTGGAAGATAGACCAGCTCATAATAATACATAAAAAGCGACGCCAACAGATTTGTGAAAATTATAAGGAAATAAAATAATAATAAAGTTCAATATTGGTTCACAGAAAGACGATCAACAATATGCTATACAAACAATAAAAGAAATGGTGAGAAATGCAAAATAAAACAAATTAAAATTAGAAATATTATTTATTAAATAAACCAAAGTAGAATTAGATGGCTAGATCACATCTGGTGAGCAGAAGATGAAGCAGTAACATACGCGTAGACAGAATGGAATCCAGGAGGAAGAAATGAAAGGAAAAGACCAAAACCAAATTGGCTGCAAGAAGTTGAAAAAAACTTAGAAAGTGCAGGATTAAGAGAATGGCAGAAAAAAACTAGAGACAGAAAACAATGGAGAAAGATTAGAAAACATAAAAATTGCCACTAGAAATGTTAAAACCGTAGCATATTTATATACTAAAACCAAAGATCCTCTAACAACCAAGGAAAGTTCAAAAGTATAGTAAAAAGGTTTATATAGGAGAAACTTCTCGGATATTACACAAAAGAATCATTTATCAAAAAGTGATACAAAAAACAAACAAATCATAAGGTTGTGCATAAGATGACCACTCCATCAATCAATCTAAATTACGCACTTAATTTTTCTCAAGCTTTAATTCTACACAGGCAGAAAAATCAACAGAAGCAGTTATTTTTAGAAATGACACATAAACAGAAAAATATAAAATGTATAAATAGAACATCAGATATTGACAAATTAAGTAACATTAATTGTTACATATTTACATATCAACAAACAATTGGCATAACATCATAATCTCATTGTATATCGATGTACCAACGATCAGAAAAATCATATATGCTTGAGATAAATTTTGACTGAACTAATTTACGTTTTTCCTCTCTTCTAAGACGTCTATGCTCTTCTTTTTTTCTCCATCTACAACCTGCGTCGATAGTTTTTTGATTTGCTGCGTTCTTTCTATTTGTGGCCATTTCGCACTCATGATCAAACCAATGATTTCTTTTTTCTGACTTGGTTTTGCCCAATATTTCAACCAATTTCGGTAACACAGTATCTTAGAACACTTAGAATATAAACTTTTTATTTATTTATTGCAATTTAAAATTTACTCAACAATTTATAGACTAAAAAGTAATCTAACATAGGAAGATGTGTTTTACGTAGGTACCATCTATTTATGATTCGCTGTAAATGTCTTCAGTCTTATGAGCATAGTCTTTCAAGTCTTCTTTCTGTTATTTGATTGACTAATTCTCCTAATAGATGATTTTTAGCGTGATCTGTAATGTATTGTCGATAGTCATTATCACTTAGTGCTATCACTTCAGTTACATATTGTATGTTTATATCATTATATTTATATGTTCATGTTTACATATTAAGACATACCAGGGGTATTACCACTCTGGGCATTTTTTTAGCGGAAAGTTATTATCAGCGGAAGGACAAAATGCAATAATTACAATATAAAATTATAAAGTATATTACAATTTCAGTTGGTATGTTAATTAAACGTTAAGGCAGCATATCTCAACCTTTTGCCAATTGCGACCCATTTTCCATAATTATTTTCACAGCGGCATCTCTCATACAATAACAATATATGTATGCAATATTAATGTATCTTGGGAGTATTTTGATGCTGTTTACAGTAAAACCAATTTACTGAAAATAAGTCAATTTATTGATAAGTGGTAACACTGATTTGAAATCGATGTCTCTCTTCTCGGGAAGTTCCGAGTTATTTTAAAAATTCTCGACCGTCTGCATCTGCTCAGTTGATAAGGTTTTTAAAATTCCCACTCATTGTGACATAAGACTTAGGTAGTCCATTCTGACCAGTCTTAGTTGAGTCACCCCTTCTGTATCTGTAAACCCTTAAGTGGTCGCTAAGACGTAAAAAGTACGCCATTCTTATTTAAGATGTCATAACTTTACATCCAGATGTTAAATAGGCACGGCAGCTCCTGTATTTTCCTACCTCACAGTCTTTTACGTTATAGTTTAGTGTAAATATTTCTCGCTACAAATTTAGTACTAGAATTGACGTCATTGTTGATGGGTGTTACTAAGTGGTGCATAAAGTACGCCAAGCGTACGCCAAGGAGCAAATAATTAAGTAAAAGTATAGTTTATTATACTGTAATTATTTATTTTAGGTCTTACGTACCTTATAACTATAGGAAAAAACTTACTAGAGAAGAGTTCGAGGAGATAGCCAGAAGAATAATGGAAGAAACTGATGATGAAGACATGGCTGGTATTGATCCCGATGCGTCCCATGAATGTATTGAATACAGTGACCACGATTCCACTTCAGGAAGGTGACAAAGAAATATTTCAAAGAGTATGTGATCATAAAATAAACGCAGAATGAGCAAAAGTTCCTACGTTTAAAAGTCGCGACGGGAAGATGGTGTGAAATAAACATCCTATTATAAGTAAATTTGTCAAATCTCCCTCAAAAAATGGTGAAAATTTTTCCGCGACTTCTAGTCGATGCAGAAAGTTGTTAAAGACGAACTAAGTGCATTTTTTCAATTTTTAACCAAAGAAATGGTCGAAAGTGTAATATTGTACACATAGATGCAAAATTAACAACGCCAGAGGAAATCCTTGCACTTCTTGGAATTCTCTTCCTTGCTGGTGTAAAAAAGTTAAGCCGTACTTATTTTAGAGAGATGTGGGCAACTGATGGCACAAGAATCCAAACCTTCCCGGCATGTATGGGATATAAACGTTTTCTATTTCTTCATGGAGCAATTAGGTTCGACGACAAAAGAAGTCGTGAAGAACGGAAGCAGACAGAAAAATTAGCAGCAGTGCGAGAAATTACAGACATTCACAGACAACTGTCGGAAACATTTTTAACCAGGTGAAAGTATTACAATTGACGAAATGTTAATTTCATACCGTGGTTGTTGTAGTTTTGTACCATATTTGCCTTACAAGCTAAACAAATATGGGATAAAAATATTTGCATTGCATGATTCAAAGATGTTTTATGCCTCAAATTAAGAAATTTACTGTGACAAGCAGCCCGAAGGAAAATATAATCTACCAAACACTGCAACCGATATTGTACTCAGATTGGTTGAGTCCTTCAAAACTTTTAAAAAAATCTTAACCACAACTAATTGGTACAACAGTTATCCTTTGTCTCAAGAGCTTCTTCATCGAAAAATTACTTTGGTTGATACTTTGAAAAAAAAAAAAAAAATTAAAATAGAAAACCCATCGGAATCACAACCAAGCAAAATTTGACCTAGACACTCCTCAATTTTTGCATTTTAGAAAAAAAACCACCCTTGTAACCTACAGTGGAAAAAGGAATAAGGCTGTTATATTATTTTCTACGCAACACGCTGATGATTCTGTAGATGAGAAATTATACAAACCAGACGTAGTACTATTCTACAGATACAGTACGATTCCCCTTTTAGTACAATGAAACTAAAGGGAGAATCGATGTAGACTGTCCAAAGATGAACTAGACGGTAGCCATTGGTCGTATTTTATTAGTTTATGAATATTGCAGAAATAAATTCCAATATTTTATTTAACACTACTAATTGCGATAAGGCCCTAAGTCACAGACATTTCCTAAAAAATATAGCGGTTTCTCTAATTAAACCGAATTTGCAACAGAGGGAAAATATCACCAACCTATCTGTGGCATCAAAAGTTACTTAACTCCAATACCGCAGGCAAACAGAGCTTATTTTGCCCTCTCCCATATATTTCGGTTTAAAAATGTACACCGAAATACAAATGTGAGAATCTATAAAACTATGGCAGTGAAGAATTAGTCCTGAAATAAAACATCCAAAAGCAAACTCGACACATTCGAAAGGAAAGTACTGAGGATAATACTAGGGCCTGTGAGGGAAAACGGAATTTTTAGAAGTTGATTCAACAACGAGCTTTATTAACTTTATAAGGAAGCACCACTGTCAGACTTCATTAAAATACAAAAATTACAATGGGCCGGACATGTGATAGTGGAAGAGGATAGGCTACCAAAAAGAGCAATGAATGCTAGAATGCAGGGAGAGAAACCGGTTGGAAAGCCAAGAAAGCGCTGAGGAGATACAGTAATCAGCGACGCATAAGCCCGTAGTTAGGAGTCCGTATATGGAGAAGATCAGCCACAGACAAGCAAGGGTGGAGGCAAAAAATAAAGGAGGCCAAGGTTCAATTTGACCTGTAGTGCCATAGAAGAAGAATATAAGAGTTCCGAGACTGAGACTCTGAAACTACCCGAGAAAACAAGAAGAAGTGTACCCAGTGCGCTCGAAAAAAAAAAAAAAATAAATAAATAGAGCAATCACAATAAAGTGCAAAAGATGCAGTAAACCAGCATGTAAAGAGCATAATGTGATCACCATACACATTTCCTTAGAATGCCAGCATCATGAAAATCAAACAGAAAGTCCTTTAAATGAATTTGACTTTTGTAACTTTTTATGTTAATCTGAGAATTCTTTTTTTATTTTTGTATTTTATAGTTTATTATATTTCTTACATAAAACATGTCTGTGTTTATTTATTCCTATGCATTTAAGAAATGTAGAGTGTTAACTTAAATAGATTCTTATTTTTCTCTGGCGTACAAAGTGACCAAGCGACCACTTGTGTAAACAATATTCTAGTGACCACTTAAGGGTTAAATTTATTGTGAATTTTGCAGTTTACGATATTAAGGATGCCCATAATACCTATTTCAAAATAATCTGTATAACATTAAAAAAAAACATAAATGAAAACGAAACGATTAGTTTAGCCTCAAACAACGATACAATTATAAAATCAGCATATCAATTTAAGTTCGAAACGATTCAAAAATTGAACTCAATAGAGTTTTGTTAAAAATTTTCCCCTGTGTTATTCGACAGTTTAATTTAAAGCATCGACTCGGAATTGTATCTCATTTGTTCAGGTTGGAATAAAGCAAAAGAATATTGGCAATAAATTAATTAGGACATATTCAGCATGACCTATCAATTCTAAATGGAATAATGCACCGTAATATATGATGATAGAGATTAATTTGTTTGAATGCACATGGATTGTGATATGCCATGTAATTTTTCAAATGAGCAACTGATATCAATTGATATATCACTAAATCTCACTATCTAAAAATAGAATAGTTATTGGTGATCCTATTGCATACACATAGGGGAACCTGGCCTAAAATGACATACTACTATTTTGTCGTCCAATAACTTTTTTATTTTTTTAATAAAAATTTAAAAAAAACATAAATGTTGTTCATTGTTTGGAAGTAGAACAGATCATGGAACATAAAACTCTAACAACACAATATTTTTTAATTAAAAAAAGGAAACAAAACAAACGTTGCTATGTCATTTTATCCAAGTATATTCGGCTAAAACGACACACTCACATGGATAAAATGTCATATAAACAAAATTAGCAAAGTTCACAAATAAAGTTTTTGCACGATTTTGAGATACCAGCACAATCACAGTGTGCCCGTTTTGAGCATTTTTGGCACCTAATCCAGAATTCTTTGGACCTTGAATGGGAGTACAAACTGTTACAATATAAACATGGAGGAATATTTTTGTCTTCGTCATCATCTGAGACAATGGTATGTGTTTCCTCCTCACGATCTTGTGTCATTAAAGTCAGATTCTTAATTGCTCGCTTTGCAGTTTGACGTTTTTCTGTAGCTCGCTTCTCGATTGCTTTGGCTTTTTGTTCTTTCATATTTGGGGTAGTCGTTAGAACTTTTGTTCATCTGATTTTCTTTTTTTGGAGCGTGACTGGACACCTGAACACCGGTTTGTTTCCTTGATCTAGAAAATCTTGATGTCGCAAAAGATTATCATTCTCTTCTTTTGACTCCGTTAGGGGTTGGATTGCAACTTCTTCTTAAATATCTGTTATTTTGGAAGGATTAAATAAATAATCAGGGAATATGTCGGGATTAAGGGACCAAATTCCAGTCTTTAAAAATCCACTAACGGCATTTTGGTGTGTAGCTGCTTTTCCATACGCTGTAGCAAATAATCCTCCAACTTGGTATTGCGAAACTGTTCTGCCTGGATGGCACTTCATCCACTTGGTAACTTCTTGATCATAGTAGCTCTTGAATGGACCAAAGAAACATACATCTAACGGCTGTAGACGATGGGTACAGTGCGGCGTAAAACACAATATCACTATTCCATGTTCTTTGGCAAAAGTTAAAACAATAATGTTTTTATGGCTCGCATGCCCATCAAGCAACAGCATAACCTTGTCTTCTATAGAAGGATTAGAATATTTTTTAAAATGTTTCATCCATGTTAGGAACACTTCGCCTGTCATCCATCCTGTTTCCTGTGCAGAGCAAAACCCTCGTAACCAATCCCAACCAGCCATTTTAGTGGTTGTGTTAAATCGGTGTACTATTCCATTTCGATCTGCTAACTGGTAGGCTAAAGAACGAACGTCATCACAAGATAATCCAAACAAACTTGATTCTAGGAGTTTTATGTGTGTTATGAGGTCTCTTTCTAATTCTACAGAGAACGTAGTTTCGTACCGGCCAAGACCTTTATGAGTACCTAATACCCGTTTATTCTTGTCTGATGCTCGTCTTCTTAAAGTAGCTTGGGTCACATTAAAAGTTATCGATGCTTTTAACCAGCCCATGTCTCCACACTGGACTGCCTGGATGGCTCTTTGCATTTGTACTGGATCCCAAGACTGGCGTGTACTTTTCCTTTCGTAGTGTCCCACCATACTAAAAAAGAAAAATACCATACATTAATATTCTACCTACCATATTATTATTAAAATTCATATGGGCAAAATGACATACTATGTCATTTTACCCGAGTATTTAATATGTCGTTTTACCCAAGTGTGAACAAGAACGCGTTTTTTAGAATAAATTTTTTGTTGAAACAAACAAAGCTTCCAAACATGATGTTTCTGTTAATATGAATAACAATACAAACCTGGAACTAACAGAGATATAAAATTTTAAAGTTTTAAACGTTTTATAGCGAAGTATACGTCGCCTACCAAAATATTTTGGTACTCAATAAAGCACAAACCACCTTTTAACAAGCAAACCACTGAACTGATCGCGACGCCCGTTGGAACATCAATTATGCACCACGTGATGCTCTTGTATAAATCTTCTTAGCGCATAGCCATGTTGCCAAGTTAGAGATACACCGGATGTGTCATTTTACCCTAGTATTTCATTTTGGGCCAGGTTCCCCTACAAATGTTTAACGGTAACACACAAAATAGAGTTCAAAATAAGATTGTAATATACAAATAAATTAAGAATAAAAATAAAAACT